GTTCCTTGCCCAGAGGGTTCTCAGGCATTGGAACAGGCTGCCCAGGGCAGTGATGGAGGCACCTCCCTACAAGTGTTCACACCCATGTAGACAACACCCTCAGTGGCAGGGGTTAGTGGTGGCCTTGGGAATGCTGGGAATGGTTGGACTTGATGATCTTAAAGGTCTTTTCCAACCTGGTTGATTCCATGATTCCTGGCTCCGGGGTTGGATGCCCTGATCTCCTGCTCCCATCCTAGGCTCAAGTAGCATCCCCCTACAGGGACCCCAGCCCTGAAGCCCTGTGCCCAGGAACTGCCCTTAGCTCTGCTCTCCCTGCTTGGTGGGACCCTCTGCCCAGCCTGGTGCTGCTCCTGCCCCACTTCCCTCCTCCCCAGGATGCGAATCTTGTCTCCTCGTGTACGTGCTGCCCCGTGTGTCCCCTGTGCCCTGGCCCCAGGCATTCCCCCGGGCACATGGGGCTCAGCCCCTTCTTCTGCTGCCTGTGCTCGAGCTGCTTGTTCCACCCTGAGCTCTGGCACTGCCCGAGCAGGAGACTAATGACTTGTGTTTGGTGCAGACACCCCTGGCCCAGCGACTGATGATGCAGGAGAGCTCCCTGGCCCAGTTTGCCCTGCAGAGCGCAGCCTCCCTTCCGGCCATCACGCTGGGATTGCCGGCTACCACTAGTGCCAGGGTAGGTGGCCAGCTTGTAGGTAGCCCCAGAACTGGGCAGAGGGTCCCTGTGGGGCAGGAGGAGCCCATTCCTTTGGGCTGGGGTGTGCTGGCTCTGCGTATTCCCAAGCACCTTTCCTTGGGCACGATGAGGGTGTGTTGTCCCCTCCGCACACCGTGGCCTGCGGGATGCTGACCCCCTCCTCCTTCTCCTGTGTGCAGGGAGAGGCAGATCGCCGTCCCCTCTCCAGCCTGGCCCACAGGGTGCCCGTGTTGAATGGACCTGTCCTGGCGGGCACACACTCGCCCGTGTTCATCCCAGCTGGTTTGGAGCAGCACGAGGCTGGGAGCCCCTTGTCCCCTCGGCTCCAGCCCGTCATCATCCTCGAGCCCTCGGTCACCCACACTCCGCTGGTGGCAGGTAAGTGACAGGCACTGAGGCTGTGTCGGTGCTGGCAGGGCCCAGTGAGCACCTTCCTTTAGAGCAGGCAGGGGGTTGGGTGCTGGGAAAGCCCAGGGGCCTTGATCTTCCCGTTACTGTGCCGTGAGATGGGGCTGAGGGAACGGAAGATGTTGGCCTGGTTCTGCCTGACCAGCAAGTGTGTCCTTGCCATGGATGAAACCAGGGTCCTGCACACACCATGGCCTCAGCAATGCAGAGAGCTACAGCTTTGGCTCTTCCCTCCAGCTGCCCTTGCCCTGCCTGAGCTGGTGTGGAGCTGTTCATCCCTTCCGAGGGGTCTTTCCCACCTCTTCCTGTGCTCTTGTGCCAGCAGATTTCACTAGAGACTCTGCACTGAGCAGGGCAGCTCTGACCTCTTGGCTGCGCCCTCGCTCTGACTGTAGCAGAAATAGAACTGGCTTCTTTGTGCTGGTTCCTGGCTCTATCTCTCCCTGCCCTCTGATACCTGCAGTGAAGGAAGCTTCTCCCATTCAAGGTGAAGCTGATTGAGACCAGCCAGATTTTGTCCCCAGCCCCCTGCTGCCAAAGCACTGGGGACAGAAGGAGGTGAACCATAAAGGCACAGCCCATGTGTCCTTGCCTACCAGACACTGGGCTCCAGGGCTGGGTCAGCGGCACCTTTAGGGCTGTCTGGAGACAGTCTGCACGGGCACAGGCCACGCTGCTCTCGCTGTGGTGTGAAGCCAGCTCTGCAGAGTGCCCAGTGGACGATGCCACCCCTCAGCTCTGCTTCCTCTCCCCTCCAGTGCCAGGCCTGGGGACAGTCCCCTTCTCCTTCGCTCCCTCGCTCGTCTCTGCAGAGCGCCTCTCGCTGCCGGGCCACCACAAACCACTGGGCAGGACCCGCTCCGGG